TCCCTGACTGCGGAAACCCTTGAAACCATGATCAAGGAGGAGAACAGACACATCCAGGGGAAAGGACTGAAATGGCGTTCCCTCGATGGGAGGGGAATAGGGGATTTTTTTTGTCAGGAAGGAGGATCATGCAGGTTGGACTGGGGGCCTCTAGGGTCCCTCCCAGGCCCCTCCCCCAGGGACCTGCCCAAAGGTGCTGACATCTCTGTCCCTGTGTCCCCATAGGTGCAAGTGCAACCTGCATGCCAACCTGTGCTCTGTGCGCGAGGGCAGCTTGCAGTGCGAGTGCGAGCACAACACCACCGGCCCCGACTGCGGCAAATGCAAGAAGAACTTCCGCGCCCGGTCCTGGAGGGCTGGTTCCTACCTGCCGCTGCCCCACGGCTCTCCCAACGCGTGTACGTACGGCAGAGGGGCCGCCGTGGCCTGGCCGCTGTGCCCCACGCCCCCAGCAGGGCCATAGTCTCCCCCACCCTTCAACCCCAGGAGTTGTGGATCATACACACGTGCACACATGCATGCATGCACACACATACACACAGAACATGTGCACACACACAAGCAAACATGCATGCATAAAAATGTACACACAAGCATACATGCACAAACACAAGCACATGCTTACTCACACACACACACACACACACACAGATACACGCACAAGCGTGCACACGCTCACACCCCTCATTAGGCGGCTCCCAAGTGCCAGGCCTCATACTAAGACCCCCTGGCACACCAGCATTCTGCCGAAAGCTTCCGGGTAGGGGACCGAGATGAGCTGCTCAGCATCTCGCCCGCTGTCCCCCCTTCTCCACCCCAAGGCTGGAGAGAAGGCCCCGCTGATGAGCAGCACCGTCCCTCATAACCAGCGTTTCTGAGGCGTGTACAGCCTGCCACATGGGGCTAGGAGCTGCTGGTCACCACCTCCTCGACCCTCAGAGGGCCCCTGGAAGCAGGTGTCCTATTGTCCCATTTACAGAGGGATCCTCAGAGGCCCCGCCCCCATCCACTGCCCCCGAGTCCCTGCTGTGCTCCCCACACAGCCCTCTCCTCTTGGGGCCCAGCCTTCCTACACCAGAGAAGCACTCCTTGGGGTGTGCCCACATATGCCTGAACACCCACTCGTGGAGGCCCCCAGCATAGTCCACGGTGTCTCCCAGGGTGCCCCGAGCTGCAGGGGAGAAGGGCCCAGGCTGGCTCTAGGGTGGGCTCTTCCAGACCCACCCAGAGTGATTCCAGGGATGTCTGACATTTGTCAATCGCTGTGACAGAGAGGCTGCAGCTGGCACCTCATGCATAGCCCCTCACGGAGCCTTCACAACAACCCCTCACTCCAGGCGAGCACACTGAGGCCCGGTGCCCACACTGCCCTCCGAGGTTTAACTGCGAGCTGTGCGCCAGCACTGGACCTGGTTCCAAAGCCCGGCTGGGCAGTAGCCTTCAGCACCCTGCCCGCCTGCCTGTCCCGTCCTCCTGGGAACACTTGCAGGGTCCCCTCCATCAACGCCCCCCTCAACCCACCAACCAGTGAAAGATTCATGTGACTTTAGCTGATCAAAGCTGAAAGCCTCACAGCGTGGCCATGACAGGCGCATCGTGCGTGTGCTGGGCGGCAGCGTGACAGCCCTTTGAAGGGGTGACTTGCCAGGCGCTCCCAGCACTCACGGCCTTCAAAGGCACAGAGAGCGCTCTGGGCTGCGCCAGCCAGCCCCTCCCCTCCCTCCTCCCCAGGTGCCCATCCTGATCTCTTTGTTTCCTGAACCATCTCTTGAACCCTTTCTTTAGTCCCTGTCACTTCCCTCTCTGACTGGCAGGCGCCTCCCTGCACCTGTCCTGCTGGCCTCCCCCGCCCCTCCCTCCTAGCCTTCTCTCTGTGCCCCGTTCTCCTCCTGGAAGGATCCTCCAAGCTCTCAGGGATCCCACAGACTGAGACTCTTACCTGCAGGCCCCACGCTGTGGGGCCCTAGGCTGGAGGCCATCTTCCGCCAACTGGCGGTGGACAGACAGGCCAGGCCTCTGACACCTCGCCTCCCCTCCATCCCGTAGGGGCACCTGAAGCTTCCTTGTCTCAGGGAGCTTCACCCCCTACCGCCCTGCTTCCCCAGAGTCCCCAAGAAGTGTCTTTGAGGACCCCTGAGCCCGGGAGCAGTGGTGAGGCTGGCAGCATGACAGGTCCTTAGCCTAAAGTTTTCTCACCGCAGCCCCCGCCTTCTCTGGGACAACCAGGAAAACAGGGCCCAAAGAGACACAGAGGGAAAGAAGCCCACGTTAATTTTGTCCTCCCGCTGACGTGCCCGTCTCAGCAGGTGGCTCCAGCGCCCAGGGGGCCAAGCTACAAGTCTGGGGGTCACCCTCCACTGCAGCCGCATCACCCCCGGCTCCATCTCTTCCGTCGTCGGCCCTGCAGTGGCGCCCTCCCCTCCATGGCCTCCAGCCTCCCCTCCCCTCTGTAAACAAAGGCCTTTCCTCACCTGGGTGCTCACGGCTTCAGAACCTTTGGTGCCCGCCCCCGACCTGTGCCCTCAGAATGAAATCTAATTCTTCAAGCCCCCCCCCATACAAGGCCCTGTGAGATTGTTTGCCCCCAC